AAAATGTCTGTCCCCCTCACTTCTGAAATGATGGCTACGCCCCTGTAGTGGTGGAATGCTTTAATATCACAAAAGATGCCATGACGAATATAACATTAACGTTACATGTTTGTTTTATTAGCTGGTTTACATAAATTACCCTTGAACTGTATACCTTGTAATCAACGTTTTTCATTAGGCTATCTGTAATGCAACTCCTTAATGATTTAAAGTTACTGCGTGCAACGTAAATATACTTGTCTTTTATTTAATTGTGTGTTGAAATTATATAAAATGTCTTTAAACGTTTGGAAAAAGTTTATTCTAAAGCATTTACATAAATGACTGAGTTGAATTTAGCTAAGACAGGTGTTTGGGGAACATGCCATGCTGTAATTTCTACTTTTTTTGCTTTCATTTTAAGGAGTTTGACGTCAAAATTGAGCTCTCATTATGACTTTGGCACTACTGAACGGTTATCATGTGAGGAGCAAGGGACAAGACTAAAATCTTCTCTGTCTTCCAACTGCACTGAAAAAGCTAAGAATCACATTACATATGACCACATTGATGCTGGAATGTTGTAAAGGCACTATTGTAATGGGGTCTAAATAAAATATAATTACTATGGTCCTACTTCTTACCAGTTAACATTTAGTTTGTGCTTGTTTTTCTTTATTTCAGTGGACAAGCAGTTGTTTTAGAATATGATAATAATAATAGAATAGAATAATAATAAAGCAATAAATCAATCTAAATCAATAATTTCAATTAAATGAAATCAATGAAATGGAATGAAATGAAATGAAAGTCAAATCTTTGTCCGCAACAGGATCTGGATGATGAAGATGCCTTGCAAGTCCAAGAAGATCCAATCACTTCCCATCAAAAATCCCACACCTCAGAAATGAAAATTCTGTCATTTACTCATTTGTCACTCCAAACCCATAAGACTTTTATTCATCTTCAAAACACAAATGAACATATTTTAAATGAAATCCTTTGACAGTCTATACCACTTTGATGCTTTAAAAAGTTCATAATCGAGCAGTTTTTAATTCAAAATTCCCTAAGAGCCATGATTGCTTTATATGATTAACAGTTTGAATTTAGCATTTTATTAACATATAAACGTTGATCAGTGAACATAAACAGAAGTACTTGCTTGACACATAAGAACAAACCTCATTGGTTCCTGCAGAAGCTCAAACGTGCTGCGTAACACAAGAATGAACCTCATTGGTTCTCACACATCAAGCAAGAATGCTTGAGCTTCCGCTTACCATAACTGATCTGCATTGACGAATGTGTATATGTGAATAAAAGCTAAGCTAGATCTGTTCATTATATAAAGTGATCGAGTCTCTTCAGAAAATTTCTACTAAACTGCTCAATTCTTATGGATTAGTTTTATGATCTCTCTATGAACTTTTTGAAGCGTCAAAGTGGTCATTGCATAAACTGTCAAGGGAGGGACAGACAACTCTCAGATTTCATAAAAAATATCTTCATCTGTGTTCTGAAGATGAATAAAAGTCTTATGGGTTTGGAACAACATCAGGGTGAGTAAATGATGACATCATTTTCATTTTTGGGTGAACTAACCCAAGTGAAGTGTGCTCAGCTTGTAGTAGTAAGTGTTAAGATATTGTGGACTGCAGAACATACTTTTTAAGTTTCAACATTTACTCTGTAAAACACTATTGAATGCTGTTCATTTTTATTTGCTGATGTAATGTTTTTAAAGAAATTGAATTTGATATTTTAGCAATGTTCTAAACACTATATGTGACCCTGGACCACAAAACCAGTCATAAGGGTCAATTGATTCATGGAATATGATCTTTACTTAATAATGATTTTTGGCATAAAAGAAAAATCAATAATTTTGACCCATACAATGTATTTTTGGCTATTGCTACAAATATACCCCAGTGACTTAAGACTGGTTTTCCCTCGATAAAATTAATAGTTTGTTAAGGTTTTAAGGTTTTTGTTAAGTTTAGGTATGAGGTTGTTAATATGTTAATACATTAATATGCGCTTTATAAGTACCAATAAACAGTCAATATGCTAGCAGTATGCATGCTAATAAGCAACTACACAAGTTAATAGTTATTAGTGAGAATTGGTCTCTAAACGAAAGTATTACCAGTAGTGTTAATGTTACTCTGTAATTTGCATTGTTGCACTGTTGTAACATTGTAAAGTGAATAAATGTTTTGTTTTGAGATGCCTATTTACTGTTTCATTACACTATTTTTTTAAAATTTAGAAATATTTAAATACAGATTGAATACTTTTTTCAAATAAAAAAATGTGGCTTATAAGGATAAATAGGTAAATATTATTTTAAAACAACAAGGTTTATGTTTGATGAACTTAAAACTATAGTTGCTAAATTGAAAAACATTGAGTTGCCAATTGAAAATAAATTTGAGTTGCCATTACTTAAGAGTTCAAGTTGGAAGCATGTAACGTCTAATAGAACAAACAAGAATAAAATGAGTTCAAAACTTAAAAAGCTGATGCAAATAGGTGCCTCAATTTTATTGAGTAAAACATGCACAAAAGTTTTTACATCTTGCTCTACTGTTTGAGCTGCATGCAGGAATGTTGTCTACAATTGACAACCATGATTTTAAAGAGATTGTGTTTTTTTCTTTCCTGTGTGAAGCCATCAATTATAATCTTTCACTTGCGATGTTACATTTGTGCAGAATTCTTTCCTATTCAGCAGTTGACCCACAGCTTGAATTCAAAAATGCATTTTGTGCTGTTTTCACATGCAATCACAGACTTCTCACTGAAAAAAAAAGTAGTCTTGCTAGGTCAAGAAGCTGGGTCTTGAAGTAAAAAAAAAAAAAAAGAAAGAAAAAAGTAAGAAAGAAATCAGGCCTTTGTTGACATTCATGGGGCAAAGGGCCTGCGCACATTTGCAGAGGTCATCGGAAAGTAAACACCTATTAATGGTTACCTGCTTGACGAACAGATAAGCAGGTCATGGTAATGATTAAACCACAGCTTGCTGGGTTACAGGCCATGTGTGAACAAAAGCATGCTGGGTGAATACAGGTCTGCGTTGGTGCTAAAGAAACAAATAGTAATCGTTATAGGACAGCAGCCTTTGAGCTGTGATGTATCAGAGCATTGAGACACACACACACCTGTGAGAGCTGTAAAAAACACACTTGTCAACAGCCATTAGCACATTCATGCAGGTACTGTATTGTGGGTGGCTTGTTGACTGTACAGTGCAGGTTAGAGAGAGAGAGAGAGAAGGAGTAGATAGACAAAGAATGAAAGAAAAGGGAAAAAAAACGTTCAAGTTCACAAGGTCATTTCCAGCCCAGGGATAAAGTAAACTGAGTGAAACTGCACAAGCTGCAACTTATCAGCCCGCTTGCATGCCAGAGCTTTCTCCTCTGTGTGTGTGTGTGTGTGTGTGTGTGTGTGTGTGTGTGTGTGTGTGTGTGTGTGTGTGTGTGTGT